AAAGTGTAAAAAAATAAATTAAAAAGTTACAAGAACTGAGCTTTATGCTTGGACTTAGGAGCACTTAAACAAATACAGAGAACAAAAAATGCAACCTTTCAATTTAGTTTGGTACTACAGCATTTCCCTGCAATCCTACGATTTTTTAAGGATTTAAAAGAAGAAGATATTTGGGTCACATTTGTTTTTTCATATCAAGAAAATAATACAGAGACAACTGCACATGGGGGAGGAGAAGCTGAGCTCACATCATTTTCCCTGGGCTTTTCAGTTCAGTTAGTGAACTCTTAAGTGCAGCAGTCACCTGGACCTGATGCAGGTCTTCCTGCTCGATGCTGATCAGGAGAGCTCACGCTTCCAAACCCAAAAAAGGGGGCATCACGGGGATTTGCTCTCCTAGTGCAGAGCTGAAGGTTCTGTCTGTTGAGGGGGAATTCAGTTCTCCATCACAGAGCCACAGAAAGGCCACAGAGAGATGAGGAGCTCAGCTGCAGGGCCCTCAGGGAGACACGGGATGGGCAGTGACCGCACAAGACACCAGATCCAGCTGTGAGCCCCCCAGTCCAGAGAACACTTCATCCAGAAGATCACAGAAGGATCCTGTACCCAGTGCTCTCCCTGCCATGCTCACATCACACTGGAAGCTGCAGGAGACACCAGGGGTCTCCGTGATGTGGAGGTGTCTGAGCTGGACAGCAGGAGATGCAAAACCAGTGGACCAGTGCTTTGCCATAGTGGGCCTCTGGGAGATGATCCTTGGACCAGAACATGTCCCACGACGTAGAGGAAGGCAGAAAATCCTGGCATGAACCCTGTGCTCATCCACCTTTGCTGGGAGACACCCAGGCTGCCTCAGAGAACAGGAGGATGGAGGAGGAGATGAAGCAAGGCTGGTGGTACCACAGAGGTGACACCCTGACCAGCTCACATGGGACCCCTCAGAGCAGCTCTGGGAGGATCCCTTCAGGTGTGGCCTCCTCTTTTGGGACCCAGTGCAAGCATGACTCCTGGCCAGGACATGGGGACACACTGGTCCTTTAAACAACCTAACAGCCCTGTCTCCTCCACAGCCACCAGTCAGGCCTTTCAAGACTGACTGAAAAACCACAGAGGTGAGAAACCCTGAGGGAAGTATGTGAGGTGATGGGAGGAGGAAGAGGAAGGAGTGGAGGACATATAAGCAGTGAAGAGGTGGGTGACAAACACTGTGCCCAGTGCCAGGCTGAAGCCTGCAGCCCAGAAAAAGCACGGAGCACAAGAAGGGGCTCAGGCTCAGCTGCACCATCTCTGCTCAGGCTTCCTATGGCTCTTATGTTTTCTGACCCTGCCTGGAGCAAGTGAAGGAGCACTGGGACTGATCAGTGATGGGAACAACGTTGTCTCTAAAGGAGGAATCACAAGTGTCCCTACCTGGGCCTTGAGCAGAGCTAGAAGCTGCCCAGGGTCAGTAAGGCCAGGTTATGGGCTGCAGGGAAGGACTTCCCTGAGCATCTCAGCCACTCACCTCCTGGAGCTCCTGCGGGAAGACAAAGGGACAGCAGTGAGGACGAAGGGTGAGATGGTTACCCAGCCTGCCAGTCACCTCCTCAGGGTCACAGGACATGAGGAAGAGATACAGGACTGATCCCACCCTTCTCACCTACAGTTCCTGCACCATAACCACCACAGAGAAGTGCCACGAGCCTCCTGTGGAGACACCACCACTGCACCATTAATATGGGTCCATCTGACCACTGAGCCTGAGTGCACTGAGCCTGCCACGGACCCTGGCCCAGCACATCTCTGGGAAAGGCATTTAATCCCTGCCGAAAGGACAAGGAGGATGTTTCCATCCCCAGCAAATGTGGTAAAAAGAGGTGTGTCCACAGCAGAGGCTGCGAGGCAGCAGAGCAGCAGCAACCGCAAGAGATGTGGCCACTTACATCAGCAGATCACCCACGCCAGGGGCTGCTCACACACAGCCTCCAAGCAAGCTTTTCCCTCAGCAGGAATCTTCCCTGGCAGTAGCCACAGCTCCCTCCCAGCCCAGGGAACATCCTCCTGGCAACACCACCAACCTGTGCAAGTCAGCAGGGCCACACTCAGGTGCCTGAGCTGATCAGGGGATTCCATCTCCTTCTGGCAACGAGTAACAGCTCCAGCTTTGGGCAGAACCACAGACACCACCGAGGTGGGACAACTCCAGACTTCAAAGGAGACTTTTCACTTCTGTCCCTTTGACCTGATGGCCTGACACACCCAGGGCTGTGTGCCCCTGGCACAAACCACGGCATAGAAGCTTGTGGCAATGCTGGATGGAGGGATCTTCACTGATGGGAAAACCCATGGAGGAAGGGGACAATGGGTGACAGGATGGAGAGAAGAGAAGGGATGGTACTATAAGCTGAAGCCCAGAAGAGCAATACAGGATATTTCAGCAGAGAAATGAGAGGTGAGCAGCACCAGTGGGGAAAGCAGAAAGCCAAGACCCCTGTGAAGGCCTCACACTCAGAGCTGGGTGCAGCCATGAGGAGGAATGAGGCAGGTATTTCCTGCCCAGTGTCCATCGTGTGAAGAGCCACATGATGGGCCATGTGATGGGGCCACCAAAGGGGCTTCATTTCAGTCACCCTGGGGTCAGAAAAGCATGTCCTCATCTTGGGCACCTCAGGAACTGGTCTAAAACTGCCTGGCTCTCTCTTGCCACCCGCTGTGAAGCTCTCCTGAGTGGCCTCAGCAAAGCACACCATCCAGTCACCATGAACTGGTGTTACTGCTTCCCATCCTCAGCTCCCCACTGCCCCTGACAGCAGAACAGCACCATCCAGGCACTGAACAGCCCCAGTGGGCATAGGCAGGGGTGAATGGCAAAGCTCCTGCATCCCCTGCCCACCACTGCTGCTGTCACCTTGGCAAAGCCACCTGACCACCCCGAGCCTCAGTTTCCCCAGAGAATACTCCAGCCACGTCCTGGGGTGGGCTGAAGAGTGATAATACACTGAGACAGGAGGAAACTCGGTATCAATTCAGAACTGCTTGGCTTCTAGCCTCCCAGAACCAAGGGTGCCTCCAGGGAAAACCACCTACTTCAACTCCACTTGTGCCTAACTTTTAGGGGGGAAAGGGACACAAAATGAGGGCCATCCATTTTGTGAATCAGCCATCTCTCTGACTTCCCCTCTGGGCTCGGCCGCCCACTTTCAGACTTTATCCATTGTTTGCCTGGACTTGTACAGGAAAAAGCACGTTAAGGAAAATCCTAGCTGAATCACACACTTTGGAGCACTTGCAATGGACAATTTGACAAGGACATGGGGATTTACCATGTTTTTAATGCAAAAATATCTAACGATAATATGCTTCACTCCTGGCTAAAAGACATTATCTGCTGGCATGGGGGGAATTTAAGCCATAATACCAGCGACTATAATGCAGGCCTGGAACTCCATGCAAATATTATCCTGATCCAACAGCTACAAAGCTCTGTTTATCCTAGTAATTAATTCTGTCTTATGTTTAGTGATACAATTAGAGAAACACTGCCGTTCTGATGGGCTTGCTTCCACCAGTGCCTTTTACTATATTTACATCCCCACAATAGGCTTGGTCTCACAGAAAAGGGTGAAATTGCATTTATGGAGACAATGCCACATGCATTCCCAAAGCATTTTAGAGATGTAAAGTTAGGCTCCAAATTGCACGTTTATTGTGCGAGCACACAATGAGCTTAGATTAAATATTGACTAAAGCCAGCCTAACACCCAAAATAATGAAGATGAGCACAATAGTGAGATTTACTCCCAGTCTCTAGAGAAATACACATCTGTAACATATAACATGCCCTTCCCACAGATATACTCTTTGTATTCCAGCTAGCCTCAGGCAGGAAAAATTTCATTCTCATAAATTATGGATTTTCTTTCCCAACTGCCAACACATCCATATTACCAGTTGCAAAGCAAACAAATATAATAATAATTTTTTAAAAATGCCTTTCCCCTGACACAGTGACGAGCAGGTGAGTGGCTCCCTGTATCCACAAAGTTGAGGCAGCAAAATGGAAGATAAACATGGCTAAAACCAGAGCATCCTTTCCCTTTTGTCCCCCAAGGTGTGGGAGCCGGCAGGGAGGTGTGGGCATGGCAGGTATCCTTTTTGGAAAGTACTCCCAGCCTTAGCTGTGCTCGGGAAACTATCCGTCCTCCTCACGCCTTCCTCCTCCCCAGACTCGTGGAAGAAATTCAGGGAGAAGCGGATGCTAATGGAACAATTACGATAATAACACAGCGCTGAGCGGGGGCAACACACCCCCTTCCCAGCAGCTCGACCTCTAAATCCCCTAATACGGTACCGCTTCATTCAAGATTAAAAGGAATTGTAACCCAGCAGAGACAAAAAGACACAGGAGGCAAAGGCAGGATCTCACTCGGTGGTGAAGCCCCACTCCAGTCCAGATGCAGTCATATCACTTCAGCTTCTCTGTACCATCTCCATGACAACCATGTAATTTGGATGCAATAACCACTGCCGAATTGATCTTTAAATGTAGCTTTGTTATAAAACATAATACTGACCGTGTCAGGCTCAGGATAAAGAGAAGTAGCCCCCCTACCAATGAGGACTGCGATTTAAGAGCCTCTTTCCACCCACCCCCCTTTAGATTTTCAGCTTCAATAATTGCGTGGATGAGTGGATTTTGAAGGCAGGGACAGCAAACACCATTTGTGTGTGTGTGTGTGTGTGTGTGTGTACGGCACGCTTTGGGGTAACACTGCAAACGAGACACCACACTGAGGGCTGGAAAAACGTGTCAGCGTTTATCCAGAGAATGGGCATCTTCACACACACACACACACACACACACATGTATGGGGAGGTTCAGTCTCCAGCAACTGAAGCATACAGCTGATGCATCAAATAATCCCAACAAGAATCAAACCCGGTAGAACTAAGCAAAATAGGAGGGGGGTATCGATGTACGGCATGACAATGAGAGCAGGGCAGCTCGCACTGGCACTTACCCGAGCAATGAGCTGTTTAATTTTTGGTCCCTTCACAAATGCAGCTCCCTTTTCTCTTCAACAATCCATGCAAAATAATCTGCAGTCCCACCGATGGAGGAGTGGCCCCGTCCCTCCCCCTCCACCACCTTCCTAGACCTCCCTGTTATTGGCTTCCTTCTCCCTCGTCTCCTGCTCTCCCTCGCTCGCTCGCTGGCGATGGTTACACCTCCCAGCCTTCCCCCAAGGTGTCAAGAGACTGCTGGGGACCCAGCAGGCAGGGTGGGAGGGGACGGGGAGAGGGGGAGGAGGCAGGAGGCATGGTGAATGGACCAGGGAAAGGATGGAATAAAGCCCTTGCTGGCGAAGCCCCCGGCAGAGCCCCTGGCAGGAGCAGACCTGCTGCTGGATGGGACGCTCTGCTCGCCAGGCAGGAGCTGCCAGGGATATCCCCGGAGTGCCTGGGGCTTGTCCCCACCACACACACACACACACCTGCAGAGTGCTGAGGGACTGGTCTGCTTCCTGCCAGCAAATTGTCACCCTGCAAACTGAGACTGGCTTGAAGTTTTGGGTTGAAATCCTGCCAAATGCTCGCACTGCCTTTAACAAGTGATGCACTTGCAGACGCAGACGTGCAGCACTGGAAGTGCCTCAAGGACCCACCTCGGTGCTCACCCCAGCACTGCAGGTTGGGGTGCTCCGTGCCCCTGGGCACTATCCCCTGCTGCAGCCCCATCCCATCGCATCCCAACGCATCCCATCCCATGCCTGAAGAGCCCCACTGGTCTCCAGCAGGGGTGCTGCCCGTGTGCCTGCCTGCCCAGCTGCCTCCAGAGCCTCCCCCACCTCTGTGGGCTGGACCAGGAGCCTGCTCACCATCCCTGACGCTTCTCCATCCTGACATCTCCTGCATGCCAAGCCAGTGCTTTTGTCTACAGGCTCATCCAGGCACCTGGCTCACCAAGATGCCTGGGGAGGCAGTGTGGGGTGGAGAGGCACAGGGATACCACGCTTTTCCTGCTTATAGGGTCCCTCTTACCAGAATTACAGACCTCTGGTGTAGGGCAAACAGTGCCTCTTGGCCACTTGTGGGTGTACAGGTGAGGGGTGGTGCACCCACCTGCCTGAGTGCTGCACAGGGATGTGTGACTGTAGAATCCCAGAGTGGTCTGGGTTGGAAGTGGCCTTAAAGATCATCCAGTCCAACTCCCTGCCATGGGTAAGGACACCTTCCACTAGCCCAGGTTGCTCCAAGCCCCATCCAACCTGGCCTTGGACACTTCCAGGGTTGAGGCAGCTTCTCTGGGCAACCTGAGCCAGAGCCTCAGCACACCCTCACAGGGAAGAATTTAATCCTCATATCCAATTTAAACCTACTCTCTTTCCATTTGAAGTCATTCTCCCTTGTCCTGTCACTCCATGTCCTTGTCAAAGTCCCTCTCCCACTCTCATGGAGCCCCTTCAGGCACTGGAAGGCCCAATAAGGTCACCCTCGAGTCTTCTCTCCTCCAGGCTGAACAACCCCAAGTCTCTCAGCCTTTCCTCATGGGAGAGGTGCTCCATTCCTCTAATCAGCTTGGTGTCCTCCTGTGGCCTCAGCCACACGGGTCCTGTGCTGGGGACTCCAGAGCTGGAGGCAGCTCTGCAGGTGGGGTCTCACCTGATTGGGGCAGAGGGGCAGAATTCCCCCCTCCCCTGCTGCCCATGCTGTGGGATCAGCCCAGGCCATGGGTCATGCCCAGCCTCTCACCCACCAGCACCCCCAAGTCCTTCTCCCCAGGGCTGCTCTCGATCCATTCATCCTCAGCCTGGGTTGGAACTGCCCACTCTCAGCCCTGTCCCCACCCCGGTGCCAAAGCACCACGGGCACGCCCCAGACTGGACCTTTAGGCAAGGAGAAAGGATTTGGTGTCTGCCCCAGACACATGTCCCAGCACATCCAATGGCTTCTTGATTCCGTGGAGAAAACCCCTCCCTAGATCTCTGTGTCTCTTGGAAAGCTCGTTCCAGAGGGCACACGTCGCTGAGCGAGCAGACAAATCCCCAACACCCCAAATTAAAAGCATCATTACAATGGAGAGCCAGACATGCCAACCCCGAGGCCCAGCCATGAGGTGGAATAATGTCCTGGAGCAGCTCGGCAGGGCACGGCCGTGTATCCTTCCAGCAGGGATACCCCGGCACAGCACACGGCATTCTGTGCCAGGGACACTGTGGGTAATGATCCATGTAATGAGCCACCCTGCAGCTATACCAGGGACCTGTCCAACAAAGGCAAGAGTGAATGAAGGTACAGTGCTGGAGAGACACAAGGAATGGATCCTGTGGCCACGGTCAAGGGCAGCAAGGAGCCAGGCAAATGCAGGTGTGGGACTGAAACCTCCCCCGGGGCTCTGTCCTCCAAGAGATTCGCCTGATGCCGTCACAAAAGTCTGTCCTGCTGCTCTCTCTCTCTCCCTGATCAACTCTACTGTATTTGTAATCAAACAGTTATCAGGTTAGGGTGCTTTAAAAAAAAAAATTAAAAATGAAAAAGCACAATTAATATTCATCAGTCTGTTGTTCAGGTGTGAAGGCAAGGAACAAAATCCAATTTCTGAGCAGCCAGTCCTAGGAAATGACATTTTGCAGCATGAGAAAATGAGGTTCTAGTTTCTAAGAATACATCCACTAGTGGGTTCCAAATAACTGGGTTATCAATCATTCTGCTTCTGGGAATGAGCCTATCAACAGCTGGATTCAGGGAGAAACCTCCTCTCATCCCTCCAGCAGGGTAGTGGGCTTGTCTCTGTCATTGATTGGGTACTCCCAGCAGTCACAGGGTACTGAGATTTCTGCTGGCACTGAGATTTCTGCTGGTAGATCTCCATTAGATGCCTCGAATATGTCATAATATTTTTTTAAATTAAGAAAACTCTTAAAATAGAGCAATTCTGGATGTGCTGTTGAACTGTCTGGATGTGCATGTGAACTTGCAGGTGCTGTTTGTCACCTGTGACAAGAGTTCTCTGGAGAGGTGGCAGCATCCTAAGGTAAGGACACCTTCAATCCATGCTAGCATCAGGGGGGCCACCCCTCAAGCCCCAAACACTTCAAAGCACCCACCTGGGAGCCTTTCAGGCAACAGGGAACTGCTGGCACCAGAACTAAACACTGCAGACCACACAGTAGGCACTAAAATTAACACCTACCCCATACAGACCATGGGAACACTCCAGCTAGGCTGGTGGGAGAGGTGGAAAAAAGATGGGAGCCTGTGGTCCTGAGATGGTTCATGGTCATGTAGCCCTGTGGGATCCACTGAACCAGAGCTCCAAGGCTGCTCCAAGGCTGGCAGCACCACAAAAACTGGCTCTGCTCCCCCTTCACTCTGAGGGGAGAAGCCAGGAACACTTACCCACCAACCCCACAGGGTTTATTTACTTCCCCTCACCATTTTAAAAGTGCCATAACTGCAGCTGAATGGCGAAGTTTGAAGTGGTGAATCCCTGTTACAAGCACTTTTCCAGCCATGCCCTGCTCATGATGCTTAGTGTGGCACACAAGGATGCTCCTGGGTGCTGCTCAGCCTTCCCAATTTCTATTATGAAACCTTCACAAGTGTTCTCATGTGCCCAGCAATGAGTTTGCTTCCATGTCCTCACACAGCTGTTTTTCTCAGGAAATCCCTTGGATTTCCCAGCTGGGACTCACTGACTTTCAGTTCAAGTCACTTTGATGGAAGCCAGGATTAGGAGAAAGCCCTGTGTGGACCTTGCTGCATGCAGGTAGTGTGGGAAGGGGGATGTGGAGGGGGATAACAGCCCTCTGAAGAAAAAGGTTCGGTCCTTGTGAGCCTTTGTCTGAAGTCCTCTTGACACTTAAAATCAGCTCTCTGTTCTGGGTGATATCTGTCCTGAAAAGTCTGGCCTGCAGCTGTTGGAGCAAACTCTGAGATATGGAAATGGTGGTTCCCATCAGGGGCATCAGAGGTGGCTCCTCGTGGCTCTTCCAGGGGCTGGCAGAGCTGAGATTTGTCAGTCCCACCCTGGGTGGGAGGACGACAGGCAGAAATGATGCTTTAAAGATAATCATGAGAAAAAGGGTGCATGCACAGGGCTCCTCCAGGGCCCTGAGGCAGAGGCTGTTAACAGGTTTGTGAGTTTGGGAAGATGGGAGGGAACGGGGAATAGGAGAGTCTCTCAGAAGAGAGTCCAGGGAAAGCATCCACCTGTGTGTGTGTGTTTGTGTGTCAGAGCATGTGAGTGCACACCCTGGAGAGACCCCCTGGAGCACAGGGCTTTGCTGGACTGGGGCTGAAGCCTCAGGCACTGAACATGAGACCTCCTGCTGGCTCCTCTTCCCCACTCACATCAGTTCCTGCTCTGCAGTGCCTTGTTCCAGGGTGGCTCTTTCTTGGAAAAGGGTCACAGAGCCAGCAAGGGACCACAGTGATGGGAGAGGAGATGGTGGGAGGGAGATGTGAAAGGAGAACTACCAGGAGCCTCTGCCCTAACAGCCTTTGGCTGAGGGGTTTGGGAAACCCAGGTGAAGTGTGTCCTCCAGTAAAGAAGCTGCCAGTTATGTGTGGGGAAAAAGGAGAAAGCCTCCAGCCTGCAGGTGAAACTGCTTATGGCAGGAACTGCCAGATCCAGAGGGCTCAGCCCACGCTCCCAGAGGACCCTGCAGGAGTATGAGGAGGGGGGAAAGTTGTCCTTGGAGGTAAGATGTGGTCAGAAAGTCCACACCCAGAACTTGTGCATCAAAGTTGTCTGAGTTACAGGTGTATGGGGGAAGACAGAGAAGTGCTGAGCTACACCAAGTACCTGACCCTGAGACAAACTGTCCAACAATTAACTCAGAGGGACCAGTTCTCCCTATAACCTCCCTCTGGCTGTACATTCAAGTGGAACTTGTTTAGGGCTCCACATGAATCTGGTTTTCAATACCATAGTTCGTTGTTTGAGCTCCTCAATAACTTCTTGGGTGCTGGGCCAGGACTCAGACTGGAGTACCAGCCTGGCCAGTGCCCAGCACAGCCACTGTGATCTCCAGAGCCCTCTGGAAGTCCCAAGAGGACACTGCACAGCACGAATCTCCTGTGCAGGGATTAGTCACCTCTCCAGCACATTTTTATGTGCCATGTTGATATTTGATTCCCTGCCCAGTGTAGGCACTTCTGCCTGGGAAATCCCAGCCTGGAATATGGGAGGCATCGTT